ACAAAGCAAGATAGCGACAAGCGGTAAACGGCATCGGATACGCACGGTCAAGATCTACAATTTTTACTAAGGTCATTTTCAGGTCAGGTCAAAGATGACGTCACAGGGGTCGAAAAAGTCAAAATGGCGGCGCTAGATATGGAGAGAGTTTTTCTCGAATAACTTTCGAATTAGTCAAGATAGGAACAAAATAAGGGCATTATCGTGATCCTCTCGTCAATCCGCATCGAATGATATATATGTTGACCTCGAAAGGTCAAGGTCAAAGGTTGACCTCAGGTCACGTGACCTCGAGGTCATCATGTATATCATTCGATGCGTCTTGACGAGCTGAACACAATGAGACCATCCACGCGTCTGTATCTTGTTCCTGTACGGAGTTATTGGCCAAAAACCTTTGGTGACCTTTGATGGCGTCACATGACCTCACAGCTGCCCAACAGCAAAACAGACCTCAATGTAGTGAAGGTTGATCGTATATGAAGTCATGAATGGTATATGGGGCCATTCCGACCCGTTTTAGTGGTAAAAACAGGGAGTTGATTTTTCCCCCATTGACTTATAATGGGGAGGTCGCGAAATTGACCTGACCTTAGGTCACCGATATCAAAATTCCGAGATAAACAAATTGTAGATACTAATGATCTAATAACATCCTGCGACTTTCAAAGGCCTCTGACATCTACTGTAGCTCTGGCACGGTGACAAAGTTGCAAAAAAGTGACTTGAGGTTGGGTCATTCAAAGTGACCTGGTGACCTGACCTTGAAAGGTAGGGGGTTCAAACTTGCACACCATGTGTAAAATTGATGAGGGAATAGTAGTACCAAATTTCGCGGCGCTACGCCCCGCGGTTTTCCCGCTATTCGCGAAAAACCTCAGGGGGGGCGGATATCCGCCCCCCCCCCCGTCGGTGCGCGGGTTAAGGCACTAGGCAGCTCTGTCACCGTCATTCGCTTGACATATAGCATTATTGCTATGGTTTGATTCCACTCAACTCCGATCGCCCGAGCTCTATTGATATTTAAAATAGTACCGTATCCGCGTTTTTGTTCTGTTCGGTGCGGAGCCGCCTGCACCGGTTGGAATTACTGGCGTGTGGGCGCTCGGTGTAGCGCGGCCGGTGTGCGGCTTCTCTGGCCTTTGCGGGCCTTTTCAGGCCTGAGTGGGAAGGCGGCCGTTGTTTGACGTCAGTCAGCTCGCCGGCACCGGTACACGGTGTGGACGCGGCTCCACCGCAGCCTCATTGGCGTGGCGGGCATTCATAGCGCGCGCCTCCGCCGGGACCGGCGGCAGATGACGGCCAGCTCCTACAGACGGCCAGCCGGCCGCCGGCGCGCGAAACCAGCCGCCCAGCGAGCCGCTTTGACCGCCCGCTCTGCGGGGGTGGTACTGGTAGCAACCGACCCGACACACCAAGATCAGAGACTTGTGGCGAGTCAGGTCGGGAGATCAACAGGAGTCGTTCCCGCAAACTGATGGGTCGTCTGTGCATTCAAACTGGCATTACTGGAAGACAAGCTGGCTGCAGAGGCACCTTATTGTATGAGTGGATGTGAAATGAGCTGAGCCAACAATTTATAGCGTGATGATCACATGAAAATGCAAGAGTTTTGGAGGCGCCATTTTACCAGTTCATTAAAACAAAAAAACGGCAAAATAAAAGTACAGCATGATATTTGTGAACTAGCAGTTACCTATTCACCGAGTGTGTCAGGTCTCCTTTAGTTATCCAGAAGTAGCCCAGTAAGAGCCATTTTCAATGAAATCTCCTTTATACCATATCATAGCTTATGCGCAGGTAGTTGCTTGACTAAAAACTTGAGTGCAAAACTTCGCTTGAATATGAAATATGTCACCATTAGGAGATTGACAGATATGTTTTCAGCCAGTCGAATGTACACAAAAAGTGAGCGACCGGGAGCACTAAGTGAATGGGTACCTATGCTTAAGTTCAAATTGCGGGCTCAAAGGACACATTGGGCATTTCCGGACACATTGACTCAAATAGAATCATCAATTGCAAGGCCGAAAACGGCAATGGTCCTTGGAAAACTCCGAAGAACCGAAAGTATTCTCTATTTGTAGCAGCTTCGACAGCCACGGCATCGTCGGCAGACAGGTGTTTGGCAATGCGTATAGGGTGTTCACTAAAAATTGGAACAAACTTTGAATGGCTGCACACCATCTTTTAGTAGATCTTTTTAGTAGTAGTTAGATCTTTTTAGATAAAAGGATCATTTTTAAATGCCATGGTCGAAGCACAGGGCGTTCATAACGTTGTCATCCAACCAAAAGTTGCATTATGACTTTGATAGTGGAAGGAGTAAAGGAAATAAATATCATTCGTGACTCTGAATGACGGCAAACTATAGTGAAGTGTATGTGCGACCATTCATTCCGATCCGTTCGACCATTCCGTCTTGCAAAACGTCGTAAGCGAATCTCAAAACGAATTTAGGAACACAAAACGCAACACAGTGGCATCTCTGCATATAGTCAGCAGCCGGGCCCGCGTCGGTCGGTCGGTTGGTGGTTAATTCTGGGTTCGTCCATGAGATTTCAAGTCAAGCAAACCAGTGGCTGCGCCATTCAATGTATGCAAATTGCTAGCGTCACTGGTCATTTCCGGTCGCATCATAGACGCTCCGTTAAGGTTTTCACCGACTCAGGCCTTTCTTTTCACCTAATGGTTAAACCGTTGGAGAAATAGACGGGCATGCATCTGCGTCGATTTACTATGGACGGTCACAGTTTACAGACAAACCATGTCCGAGACTCTCGAGCATACAAACACGCTTGCATCGAATGAGTTTTCAAAATTATTTGCAGTCATCAAAGACATGTTATTTTACAGATCGTTAACTACCATTAATCTGTTGCTTCTAGCCAAATTGAAAACAATCTCTCTTTTACACTAGAGAGGATGGAGCGACATCGGAGCGACAAACGGCAAACGGCATTTGATAGGTCGTTTAGAGATCTACAGATTTTACATGAAAAAAAATCGGATCAGGTCAATATTGAGGTCACCAGAGATCATCAACGATAAAATGCTTTGGAATTAGTTACCTATATAATTTTTGAACTAAGAAGCATAAAGGCATAAAATAATACCTTTTTGCTGCTCTCGTCAAATACGTATGCGATAACCTTCACAGGTCAATTTGAAATTTGACCCGAGGTCAAGGTCAGGTCATTCACCAATGAGGTTGTGAGTTATGCTCATGCTGTATATCAAACGACGCACCTTGACCAGGTGAGCAGTTTGGTACCACTTACAAGTCTTTAGCACCATCATGTCGTGATTTATTGACAAAAAAAAATATTTATGACGTCACATGACATCAAATGACCTTTCCCGGTGCCCCTGTCAATAATCGGCACCTGGGTCATCACTGATGATATAATCTTCCATAATACTGAAAGATTTGGGTGGTTTTGACTCGTTTACACGAAGCAGGAGGCATTTCAATATTTCCCACACTGTAAACTCATTTTGACAAGCTAGGCTTGCAATGCAAAGATCACGAGTCTGGCCTGACCTCAGGTTAAAGATATAAAAATTCTGAGCTATACTCGTACAAATTGCACATATTGGTACCCTAACTAAAACCTGAAGAGAAAAAAAATTGATCAGTCAAAAACTCTAGCTCTGGCGGGATTGCAAACTTTTCTGAGGTGGGGTCAACAAACCGCCTCTGGTGACCTGACCTGACCTGACCCGGCAACTTTTTTCGTCAAAATGTGCGCAACGAATGTTGAGGAAAAGTCATCGAGTATGAGCTTTCAGTCTTGCGGCGTTTGGCAAGGGCACAAGAAACCCTGAGGGGGCCGGATCGCCCCCCCCCCCCCGCCCGGAATAGGGCTAAGTCTGCCCGCCGACTGGTGTTGATAACGTTTTTTTTGGGGGGGTTAGGCCCCTTCGGTCTGACAAGACCATTTCAGAGCCGGAAGGATGATAGAAATTAGGGGGAGACATTGGTCTGGGCAGGCACCCTAGTGAGTCACCGGGGCTGAGCCCGTCCAGAGGACAGGCCACCCAGCCCCAAGGTACATACTCACTGCACCCGGCTACGGGGTGCGCTCCCTCGGGAGCAGCGGTGCCGCACCAAGGGAGCAGCCCGCATGAGATAAAGTTGCCTGTCCAGCCCGGAGGGGGTTGGGGCGTGGAGGAGAAGGATTTCAGTATCCTGAGGATAGAAGCACGGACGGGTGATCATCTCAAATTATGTTTACTGTCTTTCTATACTGAGAGACCTGTGTAAACGACATCTTATATGGGTGATCGAACAGCCAACAGCACATTATGTTGGGCTTTTAAATCCTGTGGTCGGAATAAAGATCGAATAGACGGTATCACACCCATAAATACCAGAGTTCTAGTGTAACTTTGTACATCGGGAGCACATATATGCTATTAGCATTGTGCTCTATCACGCATACACCATTGTATCCAGACCCCTTCGTCCTTGAGTCTACTGACCGACCATGTGTTGCCAACTTCGTAGACATTGGGCTTATCAGCACACAGGGCGACCTCTGTGGCCCTCGCCGAGCCAGCTGACGTTAGCATTGCGCGGAATGTAGGTGTCATCCAGGTCGGTCCACCCTTACCCGATCTCTGTGCCTCCTAGTTCACCTACTGGCTATTACACTCTCCTCCCTTCCGCGCCTCCGTTCCGTGTTTCCCATCCTCAGGATAGTCAAATGCTTCTCCTCCACGCCTCCAGCCCTGTTCCGGGCTGGACGAGCAACTTTATCCCATGCGGGAAGCTCCCTAGGAGCAGGCCCGTAGCTGGGTGCGGTGACCGTCAGGGAGCTGGGTGACCTGTCCACTGGATGCGCTGAGCCCCAAAGAGTCACAAGGATGCCCACCCAGACCAATGTCTCCCCCTAATTCCTACCGTCCTTCCTGTTCTGCAATTGTGTCGTCGGACGGAGAGAGCCTAACCAAACAAATAAATCACAGCCTCCCTCCGTCCTTGTCCCCTAACCCACCTGCGGGTTGCTGAACTCTCCTCTCCCGCGTCCTTTCTCTCCGATGGACAGCACCAGGTCATCCTCAGCCGGCGGCATAGGCGGCGGCACGGAGCGACGCGAGCTGCGACGGCTCGACGGCTGGCTGACCCCCGAGCCGCGAGAGCCGGTGCTGATCACTGAGGGAGAGGCGGCGCTACCCGAGAGAGAGCGGCGAGCGGGCACTCTCTCGGCAGAGGATCGCTCGCTGGAGACGTCTGATGAGGGCAGCTGACGGAGAGGGGGGGGGGGGCGAAGGAGTCAGTAGGGTGCCGTTCAGCTACATAGCATGTGCAGGGTCAAAAGTAGCGAGACGTGGTGATTGTCGGAATAGTGTACGCTTTAGCTTCTGAAGTTAATGCTCTCTAGTTGAAAAAAAATATGCAAGTAGCAGACAATATAGTCTAAATGTAATGCAACATCGTTTATTTGGCCTACATCGATCATCAATGAGTAATGATGCTTAGTTCCCAGAGTCACCCACCTGGCAGTGCCCGTTGCTCTGGCCGGGGCTGGGGCTGTGACTCGAGCCCTGACTGTGACTCTGACTCGGACTGTGACTGTGGAGCTGCGGACTGTGACTCACACTGTGCCTGTGGGCCTGTGAGGGACTGTGTCTCTGCACACGCAGCTGGCCCGGACTGTGACTGACGCTGTGCCGGTGGAGCTGTGCCGGACTGTGACCTTGACTGTGGAGTTGGCCCGGGGCGTGACTGAGACTGTGCCTGTGTATTTGACTGTGACTGTGGCCGTGGATTTGGCTGGGACTGTGGCCGTGGATTTGGCTGGGACTTTGCCTATGGGCCTGGCTCGGACCATGACTGTGTGACTGTCCCGGACTGTGACTGTGAGACTGGCTCGGACTGTGACTGTGTGACTGGCTCGGGCTGTGACTGTGTGTCTGGCCCGGACTGTGACCCCCGCTGTGACTGAGTCGTGCCGGTATATCCAGCAGAAGCTGGTCCCCTGGCGGCCGGCCGGTGGCCCCGCCGTCCGTCTCCGACTGGGGTACCAGTGCCGCCGGCTCGGGAGGGTCGGGACCGGCGTGGAACGAGCCGAAGGAGGCCAACTGCGCCTCCAGTCGGTCCGTGTTGGATGCCTCGAACCTGCCGCAGACACGAGAGGCAGCGTCAGGTCAGGAACAAAGCTCATGAATGAAGGGGTAACAAAGCATCCTGCGATAGTGATGTAAAACCTGATAAGAAGGGGACACATCTGACAGCGTTCGGGAGGTAATGAAAGGCAGCTGAGGCTCAGACAATTGGATCAATTGGATCAATTGGAACTTAGAAACATCCAACTTCCTTGGGTCGATGAAAGGATGACGCGTGAAGCGCCCTAGGTGGCGCTTGTAACAGTGCGGTTTCTGCCGACTGAACAGAGGGCGCTGAGAATTAGCCACCTAGCACCCACCAAGGTTCTCCGCCCTAGCACCCACCAAGGTTTTCCGCCCTAGCACCCACCAAGGTTTTCCGCACGAATACTCCACTACCCAGCACATCCTCACATTTCTAGCAAACTCAGTAGCTACCAAACAACGTCAGTATGCCGTGGAGCAAACCTGTGCAAATTTAACGATAGTCGAGCTCATCCTATATCGGAATCTACCTCGTCAGCGCTGAACGGCGACTGAGTGGGCCGAGTCCGGGTCTCATTCCGGGTACTCCGACCGTCGGCCCTTCCTTCCCAGTGAGTCCGCGTGTCTGCACACACCCTTTTACAGCCCACTCTCTGACCGAGCTCTCAGTGTCGAGAGCAGTGTTTACGAGCCCCGTATGACCATCCCCGTAATGAAGTGTGATGGAGGGACATAAATACGTGATTTAGGCCCGCCGTAATGTCGGCACGGACATTGACAGCGTCACGGATTGCGGGCTCATTGAGAGAAAACGGTCCCGGCAAGTGAATGAAGAGGTCACGGCGGCGCTGAGGCTGTCAATTTCACAGCGGGAGCTAATCAATTCGAGAGTTTAAACGTACCCACGTTTGCCAACAAGGTGTCAATTAGCCCGTTAGAGACTTTTTTGTTTTGTTGGGTTAGGCCCTTTCGGTCGACAAGACCATTGCAGAGCCGGAAGGATGATAGGAATTAGGGGGAGACATTGGTCTGGGCAGGCACCCTAGAGAGTCGCCGGGGCTGAGCCCGTCCAAATGGACAGGCCGATCAGCCCCCCAAGCACTCTCTGCACCCGGCTACGGGGTGCAGCTCCCTCGGGAGCAGCGGTGCCGCTCCAAGGGAGCAGCCCGCATGAGATAAAGTTGCCTGTCCAGCCCGGAAGGGGGTTGTGGCGTGGAGGAGAAGGATTTCAGCATCCTGAGGATAGAAGCACGGATAGGTCCCGTTAGAGACCTGGTGACCGCAAAATAGCCGCGTTACCTGGTGCGATTATCATCAGTCCTGAGATCTTTGACCACCAGTGGCCCTAATCATTCTCACTGCTTCACTGCTCCTGATAATTATATACTTGAGTTGCATTTGACCCAATGATCGTTTGTCCGTCAGTCTATACCTTTTAGCCTCAATCTGTCCGATCTTTGACCTCACTGGCCCACTGTCAGACCCGTAAAGACCAGATATGCACGATCCTTCCGTTAAATATCGGTCCACCCGACCTTATCTAGCCCTGGCTATTGTCCGCTCTTCAGTAATGTCCGGTTCTTATGCTGTCATTTCAAATCTGTATTTGATCCACTCTGGCCCCAAGGCCTCGTCCGTCCCACTAGGGACCTCTTCATATCAAGATCACATCACATCAAGATCCCTATTTAATACCATCTGGAAGTTTTTTTTTCTTTCCGAGTCGATTACACCTCGTCCTATCACGTCTAACCTCGTCTAGCTACTTCTGACCCTGGCCTGATCTCACATGACCCTGATTGACCTTCTACAAGTCTGACCTTGTCTAGCCCCGTTCGACCTCTGCCCTGTTCGACCTCTGGTTGACCTTAGGACGGACATTAGCTACCCGGCGTGATCGCTACTGCTGTTGGACCACGTCCGACTGCCTTGTCCCTCACTGCATCATTCTGACCTACCTTATCCGTTCTGACCCTATCTGCTCTCGTTTTGTCCCGCTTGGCTCCGAACAGGCCCTATCTGATTCCGTGCTCCCCAGACTGAACCCATCTTACCCCATATGACCTCGTCTAGCCCTGACTGACCTCAGCTCCCCGGCGTGTTCGGCGTCGGCCTGCTGTCGCTGCTGCTGCAGCTGCTGACCGCCCACACGGACGGTGACCTGCTTGTTGAGCAGCAGCACCTCTGTGTCGGTACCAGAGTCCAGCGCCCGCTCCATGTGCCGCTCACAGGCGTCCAGCTCCGTCAGGAACGAGTCCAGGCGGACCAGCTGGTGCTCTGCGCCGGGAAAAGCAGAGGTCAATGGCTGTTTGTGGTGATACAACACTTATATGCAGAAACGCAGCAAGTGTGAGGGAACGTATACTGGAAAGTGAGATAAGGAACGCATATGGGAAACATTGGGTTACCGGTTTATGGGTTTAAGGTACATACATGCGTGGAGCTCCAAAGTACACAACACAACGCATCAATGATCGAGAAGATGAAGCAATAGCAATGCACGGATGCATGGATTTAGCGCAGTGAATCGCATAGTCACCGACACCAACCCTCTCCCTGCACACATGTTCCCCTGGGACGCGTCCTCACACCACTGCCATCCACTGTGCACTGAACAGCGTGCATACAGTGCACACTTGTCATCGGACGCCGGCCGGAACTGTTGCCGTCCACTGCACATGAGCACCAGTCGCAAGGTCGGTCGGTCGGTCGGTCGGTCGGACGGTTGGACGGTTGGACGGTTGGTAGGTTGATTGGCACGAGGTCTGACGGTCCATCGGTTGGTCAGTCCGATGGTCTGACGGTTGGACGGTCGGTCAGTCGTTCTGATGGTCGGGTGGTCAATTAATCGGTCCAATGGTCAGAGGGTCAAACTGTAGGGCGGACCGTGGTCGGACAGTCGCTCGGATGGTAGCTTGGTTCACGGTCGGTCGAAGGCAGCGTTAGTGCGGCATGGGCGACGAAGCGTCACGGTGGAATGTATCACATGTTTCGACGAATACCAGCAGGGCTAACCCTGACCTTGGATGAGCGAGGGATGTACAGTGGATCTAGTAAGGATCTCCAGACGTTACTAGATGGCGTTGAGCCTCAGTCGAGTCCATGTGAGATTCAAGGAGAGGTCACTACCGAGCTGGGCCCGATGGGGAGTTGGGTGGGTGGGGGGGGGGCGGTTGGCGAGGTCACGGTGCGGGTGACCTGTCAAACAGCCCCGGCGCGGTGGGGCACTGCCGCAGGCAAATGGCGCACTCCAGTGTTGTTCCATATCGCGGTGGTGGGCCGGGCGGCCGGTTAGCTTGGCTGCTTGGAAGGAAAGGATAATGAGACATGGGTTTGCTGTGGCCGGTTCATCTTCTGTCAACTATGATGAACCCAAAGTAATGCAAATGTGATGTTGGTAATGCAGCTGGCAATGAAATGCTAGCGAATGCTCCGAGCGCCCGGTAGCTATAAGGATTAAGATTATTTGTCTCCTGAAATTTTCATTGAATATAATTCAAGCACAAGAAATATCGTATCGTTCGCCAGTTTTTTGACCGGGTGGCGTTTCTTGCGTAGGAAAATCATTATCAGCAGGTGATTTTTTTTTTATTTTTTTTGCTGGTAGGTAAGCCTTAAGGTCAAATCAAGTCGCTGAGAGAAGATGAGGAAGAACGGACGAATGCCACATTTTTGTTTATGAAGTCTTGATTTAAAAAAGCTTAAAGTTATTATACGTGAAGCTAAAAAACAATAAGATAAGTTAATAAAAATATTTGACCCGAAATTGGTCTCTGTTTTCTCTGACCACGATTGCGTGTAAGACACAGGTCCAACCGGGTTCAACCCGACCCAACCTGGTTCGGCTCCACTTTTTTAATATAAATTTGGTCCGAACCTTTTGAATGAAAGGAATCACAAGGACAAAGTCCCCGCTAAGCTGAGCTTGTTGCGTTGTCCCTGCCCTCTATCCCTCCAATCAAGCAATTCCTGGTCTATGGCAGAATTTAAGTCCAAATTTTAACCCTCGCCGGCACAGTCGATGCAACCCCCCCCCCTAAGTTTTTCGCAAATAACTCGCGTAAAAAGCGGCCGATCGCGACGAAACTTTCAGTACCCTCGCATTAATGAATTTTACACCTACCCTGAAAATTTCATGACCCTGACCCAAATGACCTTTGACCTGTGACCTCTTTTCCGAGACCATGTTTGGCCGGAATCGCGATTCAGCGTCTGTCGGCTCGCATTAGCCGCGCGTTTGCAAGCTTTTCGTGGTTTCAAACGTTCAACCACGTGATTTGATGCTGCTCCCATACATTAGGGTGGGTGTCAAGGTCACCTGAAGGTCAGGTCAGGTCATTGACCTTTGGTGACTTCGGTTCACTTTTTCGAGTTTTACATGTTTCTAGGCTAGTTTTGGAGCTGAATTCGAATTTAACAACCATTTGAACATTTACGAAGTAGTTTTGGTGCCTTCGTAACATGCTACGAAGCTGTCAGAGGCGGTTGACACGTATTACGAATACCCGTCACGACCCCTACCAGTTGACCTGACTTGACCTGACCTGACCCGACCTGGTCTAAATGCTTAAAGACATCATCTGTGATCAAAACTAACACGATTTTCGTGATCAGCACCCCGGAAAACCCCATAGCAGCCTTACTTTGCGACTTTCTAACAGGTCCCGATTTTTCCGATTTTCGGGTCATTGGAAGAAGGTCACCCTATGACCTAGGACCTTTAAATTCGGTATCATCGGCTTCCTCTCGTGACGGGCAACACGCTCGTTTTTTCCGCGAAGCTCTAGCTCGATCAGGGGCCAAACGCCAGGGGGGTCGTACCAACCCCCCCCCCCCCCCCTTGTGCCGTCGAAGGACGCAAAATGGCCTGCGCCGGCGAGGGTTAACGTGTGCACGTAGCCGCACACGGCCGGTCCCCTCACTGACTTCGCCTGACAGCGGCCTGCCACCAACCACAACCATACCCGTCAGGAGCTCAAAAACGTCAAGCACACATCGCGTTTCGAACCCGGACTTTTACAACCGGGACGTGCGCTCTCGCCACACGGAGTCCAACACGCTACCGACCGAGCTACCGGGACGGACATTTACATACTTAGGGGTTTTGCCTCGTGACATTGACAGACGTCAGACATTTTGGCCGAACTTTTAGCCGTAGCACTGAGCAAGCTGCGCAGGGCGATAGGTGTTCGTAGCGTTTAGGTTGGGTAACCTGTGAGCTGAACGCGATGTCGTGAGTTCGAGCCCCACTCCCGGGTCATGTTTTATCTAGACACGAACCAAAACCTTTCCTTCTACTGCAACACAGACAAGCACGATGACATCTTTCGCCAATATCTTTCCCCAATAACCTCTAAAAAGTCAAAATCATGGCTTATAAATGTTAGCTAAGTTTCATTTTTGAAGAAAATATTGTTTTGTCATTTTTCTGGAGCCATTTCAACTCTTTTCTTTTCGGATTCTTTTCGACCCGATAAAACCCACCAAAACTGAACGTGCCAAATGAAAAATACCCAACTCAAATAACAGTTTAGAAAAGCCTAAGACATCATGCAACTATCGACTGAATAGTTGCATGCAATTAATACGTCCTAGATTTCAATTATCATTGTTCAAGATTTTGGCTGGAACTGGCGCTGCCTCTCGCTTGCCCGTTTGTTTGAGATAATGATTCCCTTCAGTCACATTCTTGCTGATTCCACATGAACAGGATACCACCATACCGGAGTGAACGCACCCGCAACTATCATCCCCTCCCCTCAGCCTCGGCGCAGTGGCGGGCGGCCCTGGGCGGCCCACTCCCGGCGCTACGCACGCCCCATGCGCCGTGATACCGCGTCACTCCCCCTCCCTCCTTCCCCACACTGACCGGTGACCTCACTTCCCTCGGGATTTGGACTCGCCCTACCCCGACCGTAGCGCCACGTGGTGGCTCTGGAGATCTTAAATAGACCCACTGTGCAGGGGAGCGAACCTCGCCATGTGATGGGATTAGGGAGGGTCTGCTGTTTGAGATTTTGTGGGAGCGTTTATATGTAATACCCGTCCTGTGATGGGAGGCTCCAATCGGGCCCGTACTGTGATGGAAAGGTCGGATAAGTACCGCAGCGAGATAGAAAGATTCAATCATTGCCGTCCCGTGCGATGAGGGCTCAAGGAGTGCTCGATCCTATAAAATGGAAGATCTGATAAGCATCCATTCTGTAATGAGTAAGAGGTCAGAGGTGGCGCAGGCAATGGCCGTTTATCTAGGATGTAATGAGTGTCAACATATCCCTCCGGTTGGAGCGGTACAAACCGTAAAATTTCCGTCGTCAACCATATTTCCGTCGTCAGCTATGTCCCTGTTTCGTTCGGTACCCACCTATTGTTCAGTATTGTTAGACATACCTAGTTATGAAGTCTGATGACCAAGAGTTGTAAACCAAAATTAACATCAAAACTCTTGGACTCTTGGTCATCAGATTTCATAAGTACATACTCACCTATGTCGCTGACTCTGTCCCTGTAGATCTGCGCCAGCAGGCCAGTGAGCGCCTCCTTCCGCCTGTGGACCGTCTGCACCAGCGAGTGGCAGTACGCCTGCAGATCCTGTTCAGCCTGCAGGCGCGCCTGGCGCAGCTGGCCGCCGGCGGCGGAGAGTAGCGCGCGACGGCGACGCTCCACGTCCATCTGAGGGCACAGGGGGACGGAGGGGGAGTTACAAAGGGTTGCGTGGAGCACCAGGAAGACAGGGGTTACGGGGGAGTTACCCCGGGCTGCATAGAGCACCAAACGACACGAGGTTACATGATACTTGGAAAAGCATTGGGACACAGGGGAGTTACATGTGGACACGGCGGTGCAGCAGAGGACATACATAGATGTGGTCTCCCTACGGTGCAAATTACAGATAAACATTGCAAACCGGGCATTTATCGAACCGTGATATCCCAGATTAATCTAACATATTAGGTTCCGTCTAAGAGACTGGCCTCAGGCTGTAACATTTCCTCTTTTAGACTAGCTGACCTCGCTGATACAATGTCTGCCGGACTGACCTGACCTCAAACCTTCTGTCTCTTATGCTGACCTGACCTCGGCTTCCGTCTCCGACAGTGACCTGACCTGTAGCCTATTATCTCAGACACTGATCTGACTGCCAGGCCGCTGTCTCTAAACCGCACCAGCAGCGTCTGTACCTGCTCGGCGTCTCCGACAGCGACCCGGCCTCAGCTCCTGCCTCTGACACTGACCTGACCTCTCATCTACTCTCTCAGACACTAACCTGACTGCTGACCCGCTGTCTCAGCGCCAGCAGCGCCTGTCTCTGCTCCGCTCCCGTCTCCGATAGCCTACAGGTGCTGTGTTGCGCGTGCAGGATATCGGTACAGCTGGCGCACACGGCCGTCTCACAGTCTCGGCAGAAGAAGCGCAGCGTTTGGCCTGTAGAAAGCGGAACGGGACACCGTCAGGTTGCAGGGCTCGGCTTGTTGGCGCGCATTAGCGGAATGCCATAGCATGGGCTGGAGACTTGACTTATTGCGATGGAAGTATGTTCAAAGCAGTCGAAGACTCGAAGTGAGGGTATCCACATTTAGAATGGCGATGCCCTGTTGTTGATCATGAAAGTTTTAGATGCAACCAAGGGCAAGGTATTTTATGACAAGAATGTGTTGCTGTTTGCATAAAAACATTGCATAAACAGAGGAGCCGGACAAATTATTTGCACGGTAAAACTATACAATACAATTACATCGAAGAACAAAAGCCACACTATTCCCAGACCCCAGCGCATTTATCTCTCATAACACTAAAAAGATTGCAGAGCAGGGTTGTGCTCGACTCAAAAAAATTTGCCGACTCGACTCATCATTCAACTTCAGAAAGCCCTGACTCAACTCTGACTCAAACTAGGAGCTGATTTTTCCCCTTGACTCGACTCGTGACTCAAGCGGCTCAATGGAAATATGAGTCGACTCAAACTTGACTCAAATTTTTTGTTGAGTCAAGTGAGTTGACTCAAAATTGACTCAGATAAAAAAGTTGTTGAGCGGGGGGGGGGGGTAAAAAAATCAGGCAGCAGGGTAAGGGCTAAGTTGTTAAGTGGGAGAGGAGGTGAAAGGCTTATATTATAAATTGTTTCTAGAGAGTTGAGTCAGCTGACTCATGTTCCTAAATGCTTGACTCAGCTCAATGTCAAAAGTTATTTTACTGACTCAACTCTGACTCAACTCAACACCTTAATATTTTTGTCCGACTCAACTCTGACTCAACTCAACAGCTCAACATTTTATCCGACTCGACTCAAATCTGACTCATTTGAGTCAGAGTTGAGTCAAATTTCTGACTCGACTCATGAGTCAAGCACAACCCTGTTGCAGAGCGCCGTTCTTTGTTCCCTTTGTCATACCGGAACAGAGCAAAACAAAGGCGGCACTGTGTCTGTTCGCGGTGAGAACCCTAGAGAATACCGCGCACGTAAAAACGCCCCATTCAGCGCCGCGCAGCGTCCGTCACGTCGTGATGGTTCCGTGCCGTCTCGTGACGGGCCGTCACAGAGTGCAGGCTGGGTGACTCCGCCCCGACCGACAGGCCGGCGCCGGGCAGGGCTAGACGGAGCGACCCGTCGTCGCCGACCACTGGACCCGATATCTATCGACCGACCGACACACCGACCGACCGACTGGGCGACTGAGCGTACGGGTGGGGAGGGGAGCCAGTGCCGACTGTCGTACGGCCGCGCGCTGCTTGCGTGTCACTAATGGACATGACGACCGACGGATCCGCGAACCGATGGACCAACGGAACAAGGACCGACGTACCGACAGTCCGACCGACGGGTCCACGCAGCGACAGCAGCGACGGCGACGGGCTACCGGGAAACATTAGTGATCGAACGGGTGTTAGTGAGCTTGAAGCACGCAACACTCAGCAACAAAGAGCTTGAATGAAGCGCCAGCTCGCTCCTCACCAGCATGATTAGAGCAGTAGAGTTGCCAGTCGGCTCCTCGCCGTCGTCTGGAGGACTCCTGAGTGACATCCGACTCCGACTCACTGCCAGAGTCAGAGTCGGAGTCGCTGCTCTCCTTCGCCGGGTTCCGCGACTCCTGAGGAACGGGGGCACAGTGAGAGCGTATAATGAAGTCATAAGGCACACGTCAGATAGCAGCATAGCAAGCAAGGGTCAGATGTCAGCATGACGAATACATCAGCACAATCAGTCCGTGACCGGATATCACTTAGGGGCCGCGGTGCCTCGTTCGGAGAAGATGTCCGGAATCCATCTGGATAGCTTTGTTTGCAGAGAGGCCAGTCGGTATCTCGGCAGTGTTTGCATAGCCTGTCACCCGCCATTGACACGCGCCGAAGGTGATCAGACGGGCTATCGTCGGCTCGCCGAAACGGTGCCGAAATCAAGACACGTGTGGATTCGATTCGCGCACGGCGGAGCTTACAAACAGTCCTGACTACCAAACGTTATGCAAATCAAGGCAACATGTTGCGCCTAAGTTGCAGCGTGTAGCTACACAAACAAATTATCGAGTAACACATCAGATTTCTGAGAGGTTATGTGAGGGGTCTGGTGTTTATATTATATCCACAACAGGGTCACCATGACAAATATGACGTGTATGGTAACATACATCGCCTGGTCTAAACACCGAAGTACGGATCTCGCGAGATTAAGCGGTAGGTTTTGCACTTTTACATTTCCGGTTATATCTCAGAAACTAATCGATCTACGATGAAGCCACTATACACGATCATGGCCGGCTTGTGAACCAACAAGTCGATCGCATCTTCAACACTTAAAAGCTTAACCCGCGCCCCGTAGGGCTATCGGCGGACCTTACCACCCGTAGGGGAGGGGCCGTTTCGCGCCCCCCACCCCCCCCCCCCCCTAAGATCTCGGAAACTTACCGGCCGATTTTCAAAATTCAAACGGCGTTCAATAGCCCCACCCGGGAACTATCTTGTGACCAAATTTAATTGACCTAGGTCAAACCGATGACGTCACAGGTCAGGTCAAAGGTCGGATTTCCACCGTTCACAGGCATTTCAAGAAATGTGTTGTGAAATCGAGTAAATTGGTAAGTTATTGAAAACCATCGATGGTACATTGTTCGTCAAACATATACTTCGCTATCTGAGGTCACTGATACCAGGTCAGGTCACAGAGGTCAGGTCACTGGGGGTCACCTGGGGGTCACAATATGAAAGTGTCGTGTGATACATGTTTTATGGTCCATTTTACAAGACAAATGCGATTGTGTGGGTCAGGCAGCCTTTGGGGCCAGCTTAGGTTACGTTTTGGTGAATGTCAGGTCAAGGTCAGGTCAAATTAGGTCAAATTTCAAAGTTGATATTTTTGCATAAAATGGGTATGGATTCGATGCAGCTCGTCACGGAAAGTCTAATGGTGGTCTTTGTTTTGCTCTACGTGGTCTAGAATTGCCAAAAATTGAGTTTAAAAATTTGACGTCATCATTTTTGAACAGTTTTTTCGCTATAACTTGGCCAAAAAACAAGATATTGATCTGCAATTTGGTATGTAGATAGAAGACGGTAGGTGCTATCACATATGTTCCGTTTTTTTCGAAACTAAAAAAAAAATGGATTTTTTGGCAAATATATCCAAAAAATTGCTTTTTTAATTTTGGGGGGTCAAAACTCAAAAATTTCACAAATCCGAGATAGCAGTTTTGTAGCCCTATCAATTCTACAACTTTTATGTCTTGATCATTTTTCTGTATCTTCAAAGCTGTAGGCCTGACAGCTCTTCTCGCGAAGGTCTTTTTTCGGTCGAAAATGACAGAACATGACGTCATTCTGACGTCATCGTCATTTGTGGCCAACTTATCATAGCCTTTGGAACAATATTTGGTCACAATGTGTAAAATTGATGCCCGGAGGGGTCCTGAAAGTTTGGTGGCGATATCTAGCCGTTTAGGAGATATCGACGGAAAAGGACAGGGGGGGGGGCGTTTCGCCCCCCCCCCCCAAAGGGGCGCAGGTTAAGACGACGAAGATATAGCCTGGAGTACACTAAATTTTCTAGTGCAAAACCTATAGCTAAAACCCGCGAGACCTGTACCTATGTGCAGCAAGACGACGCACACCAATGCCAAAAGTTTGTCAAAAGCTCAGACTAGTTGACTAAAACAAACGAAACACGAACAAGATTATACTAAGCTAAGACACCTTCGGTACCCGTGCGTACTGCGTACCTCTGCAGCCACCGCCACGCAGGTGGGGCAGGTACCGGTACCGGCGCAGGCGGTACACGAGTCCGGCTCCAAGGCCAGCAGGCGGTTCGTCTGGAGACCCGATACCTGGTGGAGAAAGAAGATGGTTACTGGTCAGTCAGTGGACATGTTATGCGGCCGAGATCAGCGATATACGCTTTATTTACTTACCATGCTTATGTACAAGAAAATTGATACCACTTATCATATTCCGTGTCTAACGAAGTCGCAATGTTCAAATGCAGGCGACGTAGGCTCCTTCATTTATCCTGAGTCTAAGTTCCATAATTGGTACATTAATTAGCCGAGGTTTATTTCTCCACGCTGGACCGCCTCTCAACTGTGTTTATATAAATCATTTCAAAAAACTTACATAGGCAGAAACGTGACGTCATAATGTTGCGCACAGGCTGGACGCAAACAGAATTAAGCTATGCTGTGCCAAAGACACCTGTATACCGGTATACAGGGGTCTATGCCTGTGCGGTATACACTATACCTACAGCATTGTTGGTCCATGATACTGTGCCGCAATACACATCAGTGAGTGAGCCAACATTATGCGGATAATTTGAGCCCCGGGGCAGATCTGGAAACCGCAAACACAAATGACGGCTAACGTCCGTTTGGATTGGCGTCTCGCTCCAGTTCACACGGGACCAATTAACCCGCAGATCAGCGCCGTGTCGGTAAAACTGATTGACCCCGACAGGCAAGGTCGATCTGGAGAGCCCAGTCTGCAATGAGGGCGCTGCATAAACAGACAGCCCTAATTCGTACCAGCCGGTCCGGCGGCCCAACCACCACCGACGCCTGCGAAAACACGCACCGAGGGCGCCACACAGGCCTCACTCGACGTCCCGGCCCTGAGAGTCTGACTCTGAGCGATGACGGTAGAGCAGTGACTCACCCGGTTCGAGCCCCGACCGACAGATGAGAGGAGCACGCCTGACGCCACCCGCACCACTCGGTCAGCCAGACTCCCCTGCAGAGCGGCGCGTCAAAACAAACCCGGGCGACACACGGCGTGAACTGGTGGACCGCCCCGGCGAGGGTCCTGTCCTGGTCAACAGGATAAAGAGCACTGAGCAGTGAGCAGCTCAATCGGGTAGTGGACCGCCGGTAGTGGTCGAAAGGCTGATGCTAAAGTGACCAATCCCGCCGCCTCGCCGACGCCTGGCCGGCGGCAGTGACGGCAGCAGCGTACCCCGTCCCCCTGCTGACCTCTGCACTTACAGATCATCCCGAGCGTAGCTGCTCCTCGAACCGTCACCCCACAGACGAGCGAGGGCGACCCCCCACTGACGTGTCGCTATGACCAGCGCACCGACAGCGTTCCGGCAATGTGATCCGTGATGGCGTCATCGCCATCTGTTCTGCCGAGCTCCAGACCACCGGAACAACCAACAATTGACGTCCATTGCTACACGTCACGAGCCCCGTTCCCGTCCGGTGCCCGGCCGCCTCCCCAGCTCTCCCCCGCCCCCAGCCCATCCCTCACCCCGCGACCTCTGGGGTCAGAAGGTCGCGGTGACAGTGGACATGCCGCCAGGCCGGCGACGGTGACGGTGACCTTCTGAACTGCCGGTGACAGGGGGACGCGACGGTCCCCGCGAGGTGAAACACGGAGCGGAACGATATGGACACGATTCTCAGAGAGAAACGAATGGGAAACGTAGGCGAGGCTCTAAGTTTATTTCACATGGCATTGGGTGAATTTCCGTAGCATGCAGGAAGCACGTCGGGCGTGTTTTGGCAGATTGTTTTAGCGAACCGTCTTTTATCAACAACACTGCGATCCACACTGCGGCTTTCGGGTTCCAACGACGGGACTGCATAAACCAAGGTCGTATCATTTCCCGCGGTAAGGGCTGCGGCCGGGCCCGTCTGTTTCCGAGAGTCCTAATGGACAAAATGATGACGGAAGCGCCTGCGGCCATTGTCAGTGCGTGACAAGGACAACTAACAAACGCACGGTCATTGGTGCTGACACGCAACGTCCCATCCCATAAGTCCTGTAGCGACCTTCGGTGTTGACGAGCACAATTGGCCCGTATTAACACAGTCTGATCAAGGGAGGAGACTTACATCTCTTCTAGCAGTCCGAACATCAAAAGACAAAAAGCTAAACACACCTCACAATGGAGACATTACATCCAGAAAACTACCGTGCTAGCTGCTTTGTCAGATATCGTTCAACAGCTTTCTCGGATGGAATGCGTAAAGAAAACGCATTGTAAAGTAAAGCGGGCGATTCGCGAGTAGGTACGTAAATCAATTGATAAAGGTCGAACTTTATTATTTGACGTTTATATATTCACTATAAACTTCAATCATTATGACTTAGCCCGAGCCACACACCACCGCACCATGCGGACAACATGTGTTTGTGCGTAAGGCGCGATATTGTAATGTCTTGCGGAACAGCCTAACTTCAGGCGTTGATCACTAGTGTCATCTAGCGGCAGGAATATAATTACACCACTAAAAATCAATGTTAGAAAAGCGGGAAAACTCACTCATAGGCGGTCCCAGGGGGGGGGGCACGGGGGCCATGGCCCCCCCCCCTTTGGTGCTGAAAGGTGGGGCCATACTATCTTTTGGCCCCACCTTTCAGATCGAACAAAAATCCTAGAAAAGCTTTTCGTATGTTTCATTTTCTTTCTTGCGCCATCAAAGGACGTGAATTTCACTCATGAGTGGGCTCAGTTTCGCATCCTGTCAATTTGGCGGTCAGCGTCGCTGGCACCGGTTCACGAGTATGGCCGGATCTTATATGGAATATCAGCGTGGGTTTACTTGAGGCTCTCGTAGGCCCAGCAATGGCTGGCATGAGACCCTCTTCGGCAGTGGCGGGTGGGCCCTGCTAAAGGAGATTGGCTCTAAGACACTAAAGTAAGACCTCATGGGTTGGTGCTGTGCACCTCAGAAGCCCGGTGGTGACGCCGTATGCCGGCTTGGTTTCGTGGGATTGGCGTGGGACCTCCGGGGCCTGCATAGAGTTTGCGTGAGCTAGTATGTAATCTCAGAGGCATGTGTGTAATGTGTACACAGTGGCAGTCGCGGGGGGGGCATCAGGGCCATGCCCCCCCAAAGGTCAATAAAGGGGGCCATCATATCATTTGCCCCCCACCTCAAACAACCAATGGGCCCCCATATAGGTGTATGGGGCCCTGGCAATTATTCGATCGTCACGAGGCTCAAAAAACCCACGCCCAGCTATTAATATAGCTCCCACACCGGTCTTTGAGCGTCTTACACTGACCTCTGAGGGAACTTCAGTGGCGGTCAAGCGCCCACGTTGGCCGCTAAGAGCCTACATCAACCTCTGAGGCCCCACATCTGGCCTATGAGGGCCCCTAACCGGCCTCAGGGGCCCCAACCGGCGTCTGAGGGTCTCACAACGGTCTCTGGTGGCCTTATTTCTGTCTCTGGTGTCCCAAGACGAACCTTTAGGTGCCAATGAGGGCCCCGCAGTGGCTGCTGAAGACCCGATGCCGGCCTCTAAGGGCCTGCATTGGCCTCTTGGCCTTTGAGGGCCCTCTGCTGGCCTCTGGGGTCCAACGACGGCTCATGCCGGTCTTTTAGGGCCCCACGTTGACCTCTGAGGGCCCATGTTGGCCTGTAATGAGTAAGGACCTACATTAGCCTCTAAGAGCCCAACTCGGTCTCTGATGGTCTCAAACTACTGGCCTTTGTAGTTTCCAGGCCCTGTATTGGTCTCTGAGGGCCCTAAACTGGCCTCTACGTGAAAACATACATGGGTGGGTTTCTGAAGATCAGAGGGCTCACGCAGTCTCCGGCACAGCCTTACGTTGGTCCTGATCGAGATTACTTTACGTCCTGATGGTCCCGCGCAGATTCCCTCATATTTCGACGTCGGGACCCCATGAGCCGGTGTGGGTCCTGGGGCTGGCAGAGACTGATGAAGTCCTTAGGGCTCAGGGACAGTCTTCTTAGAAGGACTATGCAGGTTGAGTGAGCCCCAATAGAGCCGTTGCGAAGCCCCGCGGAGTCGCGCGCGGCCCTCAGATGCCAATTTTGAAAGCTCGGAACCTGTGGGGTCTCCAGAGGTCGGTGTACCTACGCTCTCCCGCCGCCACACAACTAGGTACCTATATGGGTAAATGTCATAGTCTGAAAATGCTCTCTGGGTTTCACATGCTTGTTCAAAGCAAGAGGTATCTGTACTTTTCCGAATTGTTTTATAGTGGTAAGGTCATGAATCCGCGTGCCTGACCTTCCAGTATACCTATGCTACACCGATCCGTCGTCATGGTGCAGTGGCCCGACCGGTGGAAGCACCGTGGGACGGGAAATGGAACTGGTGATTTTGCCTTAAATTGAGCTTAAATATTTCACGTAAGAATGAGATGGACGAAGCATAAGTAATGCCAACTGCGCGGCGCCTCGTGGACGTAAAAAAATTAGCCGATCACCCCCCCCCCCCTCCCGGTGACGGATAAATGTTATGTCCCGCGAGTGTGACTTTGGCCCCCCTTTTGCTAGCGGCTGCGACCGCCAGTGAACTCACTGAGACCCTCGTGGCCGTAGCCGAATGTACGTGAATGTTAATCATGTGAAAAAATGCACCTAAATGACATGAGGGAGTGGATAGGGGTATTCGATGAAATGTGCTGGTGTCGACATAATACAAAGCGTCCGCTTTAAAAAGGTACTCAGGTTTCGATCAATAACTTGTACATCAAACATGGCATAGTCATGATTTTGACAGCATCGTATTGCCAACAAAATGGCAAGACAGATAACATATAACACTATGCGAAAAATCTACCAGTATTCTGGTGGCGCGCCTAAAGCAGATGCTCCACATGAGCTCCTTTGCGTCGGATCACCGTGGGCGTCGGAAAGCCACCAGTTGTCAAACACCGTTGGGTGCCGTTCCAGCCATTTCGCTATCTCCACCCGCTTTTTCATGTCCGATGGCGTTATCTTTTGAAATATTTGAATAATGTAGGGGTGCATGGACGCAAATCTGTCCTCAGGATCGTGTGTAGCGAAGTCCTCTTGACGCCCAGACACTGGCTGCGATTGGGCTCTGTTTAACAGAATCTGCCGCCCTCTGAATGGTTTCCTTTGTTCTCACGTTGCAGTTTCTACCGGTTAAACTGCCTTCCTTCTTGAACTTTTCCACCCACCCTCTAACACAGCTTTTGGTCGGCGCTAAATCAGCCCTAAGATGGTCAAAATTAAGCTTATTAAGGAACAGTCGCCCAGCCTTGTTGTAGGATTTTGTCACAATATAGGCCTCTGCAGCAAAAGCCTTCTGTACGTCCGTCCGCATCCTAAGACAGTTATTTTCACAGTGTATATAAATAGTTATTTTATGATTTTCTGTCATGCCATGATGTCTTTTATCAGCACGTGAAATTTTAACGATACAGCTCGTGCGACAAAAAAAAATCAGAGCATAAAACATGAGTACCATTTTAAAACGGACACCCGGTACAAAGAACGGAACGTTGTAGGCGATCGGATCAGAATAAATTGTTCGGATAATAGGGATTATATTCGGTAACATGAAAGCAGCAGTTAAGTGGGACTTTAAAGTCATTTTATCTTTTACTCAGGTTGATAAGTTAATGGTATACTTTTCAGAGTCTCAAGAGCAAATGTATTTTTTTTTTTTAATGATGGCAAATATTTCGACCCCCATTGAGGAGCCTTTTTCAATGCGAAATTACATGGAATAATGGCGTGGAATATTATTCCATGGCATTAATGGAATAATGAAATTACATGGAATATTATTCCATGTAATTTCGCATTGAAAAAGGCTCCTCAATGGGGGTCGAAATATTTGCCATCATTTAAAAAAAAAAATACATTTACTCTTGAGACTCTGAAAAGTATACCATTAAATGAAAGCAGCAGATAAGCAGATCCCTTTTTGCCCTTATCTAATCAACCTCCAACCCAAAATCACGCCCTCTCATCTCTCAAAGAACATGACCACCACGCGGCCTTCTATGCGCTGCACCGGCCGCGGTTGCCGCCGCTGCGACGCGTTTGCCACTTGATGTATCGTTCGCAGACGGCGGCGCACTTCGTATTCGTCGCGCTGCGGTCCCAGTGAGAGGCCCGGACCATGCCGGGCTGAATTCGGCCCTTTTATAGCTGCACCGAGCCGCGCTGGGCCGCGCCGAGCGCCGAGCGGGCCGCGCTGGGTCGCGCCAGAGGCGATGAAGGAGCGAGGTGCTGCTGACGGCAGCAGTGGCGGAGGACGGCGGCGGTGCCGGACCCCGAGGGACGCTCAGCCACCGACGGCCCGCGAAGCGAATATGGTTGAGGAATGTGGTCTGCACCAGCCCTTAGGGCAGGTTGCGCGCGGGCCAGCATACGTGATAAGATTGGTACGCACAGAAAGAATTAAGAAGATTGATGCCTACGCGGGTATGTGAATTATATGCGCAAGGTAGCACGCAGTCCGGGGCTCGTCGAGCATGTTTAATTTGGCACTGTAGAGTCGGAGTAACAGGCTGCTGCAATTTTAGCGCACGTTGCATCAGTGGGAAGAGTCTGAGCCGAGTGACGTGGCAAAGCGTTTGACAAATAGACGCGCTGTCGGTCTATTCGCCGTAGCCAGATGACCAACTCTCACTGAGTTGTAGCCTGCCACCGCACTAGCGACGCGACGCCACCGGAGCTGTTCATATTCAAATGAGCCATTTTATGGCTATCGCTGTAGCTTCTAAGCAAAGGCATGTCGAAGATATCAATGTCACAACGGTGAAACGGCTTCGAATGGAGGACGAGGACGATCGCATTGCAAATGCATATTGCTTTATGGAAAAAGCATCTTGTGTATGCCATTTCGATTGATATTCCAGCTTGAACGAGACACAACTGGAGATTCGCCGAGGTCAGTGACTTCTTGCTGACACCTCCCGGGTCGCTATCGCTGAATCTCGTGCACGTTGCACCTCCCGCTGCACCACCCGCTTGATGTGCGTAGTGCGTACCGCGCGTCATTCAGGGCGCGTGCCGTAGAGGAGACAGCGACAGAGACGGGTGACGCATGTGCATAGGACGGTACCGCATGCCGGGACCCGGTCCGAGTTAGACGGATGGCCTCAGTGCCGAGCTGGTATATAGGCTCTGACTGTCAGTCTATGGGCTCGCAATACGCGCTGAGCTGGGATCAGCGCCGGCCGCGATTGATGCATGAGGCATGGGGACAAAGGAGGCTGACCGGCGGGATCCAGCTGGGGTCCGGCTGGGATCCGCCGGGGGTCGAGTCTGGGTGCACGCTGAGGTCACTCACCTGCCCCCCGCCGGCTGTATCCGTAGGTGGGACAGAGGTCATCGCAGGTCACACCGCCAGACCGCTCGAGTCACACAGTCACACAATCACTCGGTCTTCGTCACCGTCCCACTCTGTCGGCCGGCGACAGGCCGCGACTGGCCCGGCGTGTGGCCCAGCGCCCACTGCGGACCCTCCACGTCAGTGACAAAGCCGAGGACCGTCACAGCAAACCGCCCCCGCGCCCTGACTGCAGAGTAATGTCACCAGCAGCGCGGCGTCCGCACTGTGGCATCAGACAGAGCCCCGACGCCCTGTTCCCCCGCGGCGACCGACCGGCGTCGGCTCGCTTGGAAGCGTCCGCGCCGCGCGATAGGCTCTGTATACACGGACCAGGAAGGCCGTTTCCAGCAATCGCTGATCGTGCCGCTACATTGGACAAGAGGCGGCCGAGGCAGTCCAACCGTGAAGGTGGAGCCCTGATTTCTACGGTGCTATCAGCAGTTTGTGCTGTGTGATACCAGGGTTAACACCCAATGGTGAAGAGCTCTGAATCACAAACATCGTGAGCCCTGAAATCTCTGCTGCAGTCATTTTACGAGATATCTGGATGCTGCGAAGATCAAAGATTGCTGCGAGTTTCGGAACCTTTTATCAATCAGTGGAGTGTATAGCTTCTTAGATTAGCTGCAAAGTCGTCTATTTTTGGCTCAGTGCATTGGTGAGAAGTTGCACGGTCGATTTCATTCCCACCTACGGCTAAGGCCCCAACAATAAATCATGACACCTAGCCAAACTAAAAATAACCTAGCCTTGAAATAATAGCTATCCCATCCGTTATGTAATAATCACAGACAAAGGATTTGCATTTCTTATGCTGGTCGTCAATCATCGCTCCTTTCGAGGTGAGGAGCGAAGCAGACCTTGCGATGAGATCCACAATGTTCCACGCTCCACACCGTTACGGGGCGTGTACGAAATGGAACATGCGAGGCGCATTTGTCTGATGAATTGGCACATTTGCATCCTCACCTCATGGTAATTAAATTACGAGGCTGAAAAGGCCGACGCATGCACCCATGAAGGCATACATGCTGCACGCCCTTGGCTGCAATGCAATAATGGTCAGCGATCATCTTTAATAATAGAGTGGCTTGTTCCTCACCCATCACATAGGTACAAGTACTTTTAAGGTTCATCTTATCTCCCTTGCACTTACTCTTCCTGACAGCTATTTCACTCCTCTCACTACAATCATCCAGCCGTTTGATTATTTTTCCACTGTCCCTTCATGCGCGCCTACTCCTCTCCTCGCCCATTTCATTTCATCTTCCCTTTCTACATCCTATCACCGCCCGTCTCACCTCATTCTTGCCTCCTTTTTACCCGTCTCACCCCTCACGCCTCTCCCCGGTACGGTACTCACCCCGGCCGGCGGCAGGATCGAGTGGCACTTGCAGCTGGGGCACGAGACCGACAGGCTCTCCGGGGGCACGTGGCGGCGCAGGCAGTGCTGGCAGAATGTGTGCAGACACGGCAAGATCTGTGGCAGAGAGATACAGTGGTTAGATGTCTTGTCACACCAGCTCAGCTGACTGCTGAAAGAGGCATAGCAGTCACATTGCACCGTCTCAACTCTCAGCTGACGAATGTTTTTACTCTCTCACAGCTCTGACCTCACTTCACTTACTCAGCTCGTCAAGACTTGCCTTGCGAGATATTAAACACATCACCAATATTGACCACATCGACTCTACCGACCAAGACAGCGTTGCGATGCGACAAACTTGACGACGAGGACGGGGGTGAGGCGAGGGTACGACGGCGTCGGAGCGGGGCGGGCCAAGGGTTGGCGGCAGCAAAACAAAACCATTACCCAGGACAGCACGCCGGGCGAGGGGCGAAGAGGAACCGGTCGTTTCGCTCATCATTCCTCTCTCCGTCATCACTTCCGTGACGCTCCGGTGTCAGGCGTAACCGTCTAGGCCCTCCCGGCACGACGGCACTCGCGACGCAAGCATTTTCTAAGAGTAGCTCATGTAGATGTTACGTTACATTCATCCCATGCTTGAGCATCCATCACAGAAGTGCCATGTACACTGAGAAACACTCAAGCCTATTAATGGTTCTCGGAGACCATGCAGGGGTCGTTCTGGTCTTGTATGAGAGCCTCAATTGGGGAGAACTTTGTTTACAGTTGTTGGTCTCCAGTTTGGTAAAGTTCTCAGGTTTTTCCCGTAACGTTCTCGATTGAGAATGGTGTGCTATCTTGAACGAGAGCTTTGCCCGGATAAGGTACTCTTATACTGCGGGATGATCTCCCATGAGAACCTTTACCAGGTCATGAGATCATAAACGAACACAATTCCCGCTCATAATATGATCCTGTATGGTCTCCGAGAACTTTACAACTTAAGAGCGCCGGCTTTCCTGGCACGGCATTCGCGCTCACGACCCATTCCCCCCCTCTCCCCTCCCTGTAGAGCGCCAGCTTTTCATGGCACAGCATCCGCGTTCTCGATCCTTCCCATTCCCTCCATGCACAAACATGGTAAAGAACAGGCATGTATATTTATTGTGTCAGATGTCAAAAAACTCACTCTGGAACAGAACATGCGATGCAGTCATTCGAACATTTTGAACATTTTGTTTCAAAAGCTGCCCAAACCCTTTCGCTTGCCGCCCCAGTCAGTACCGACCAGCGTGCTGAGTTTCAACTGTGTCGTTTAGCAAGAGACCATAATATCTCCCGGTGCACGACAGCTCAGTCCCTTTACTTTACTTTTAACACGGAATGCAGGTAAGTGCAAAAATGCATGTCAAGCGGCGTTCCCCACGGTCCACAGACTGTGCGAACGATGTACAATTCAAACACTGTTAAGTACAGGCACGTACAATGAGTTACACAGGCACAGACATTAAAAAGTTAATACAGGTAAAATGTATGGGCTGGCATGTGAACACTACCGACGGCAGTCCATGTGAGACCGAAGTCTAGCCATAGGAGCGGCGGAGGCGACGACAGCCGGTTGGCCGCTCTAGACAGTTTGCGCAGCTGGTAGCTGCATCTGGCTGGGGAGGAGCTACTCCAGCATGGCAGCCTGCTGACTGCTGAACCATGAGCGCCATCAGACGCTCCAGCTGCTCGTTGTCTCCCATCACCGGTACGAGCGATCCGACACGACGGTGTTAATTTATGTGCGTCTCTGAATCGGTGTCGCGCACAGGGTCAATCTCACTCGCGTACTGGCCACGCATATTATCGATTACACCACTATTTCACTATTTCACTGTGGCCGGACCGTCTCGGCGAACACGCCTCACCTCACCTCGCGGCACTCAGCTGTGTTGACACCAGCGCCGCTCGGACGATACTGACCCTCGGCCGCTCGGCCCGGCCCGGCCGGTCAAGGTCGTTCAAGGTCACGGCTGTCAAGGCGCGACACGCGTGACCCAGGGCCGGGACACAACAGGGACATTTTGGCGTTGTGCCCGATGAGTTGCCTCACTTCGGTGTCCAACATTGAGAGCATCGTCTCTACGGCTTCTTGCTCTGAAAGGGAGAGTAAGACAAATATTAGAGAAACGGCAGAAACGCTTAATTTCTAAGCCATATCCTCAAAGCACACGAATTGGTATTTAAGCAGATTTTGCTAACACTGGCAAACAGATGGCAATCGCAACCTGTCCTATATCCCAAAAATGGGCAATGGCACACAGATTTTGCCACCTCCCAGAGTAAGTAATTACCTTTGCTGTGGTTACTTTCAAGCTGTTAAGTGCACACAAAGAATACAGAAAACAAACTCACCATGAGACGTTCGCGCTGTGCGCCAGACACCAACTCGCGAAAGGAACAACCACGCCGCCGGCAGCCTTCGCAGTGCTTTCGAGAAAGGAAGGACCGGAAGCACTGAGGCATTATATAGGTGTTCCTTAGGGATATCCATTTGAATTGGTTTGAACTGTTAAAATCGATAAACATCGTGTCATATAGTAAGGCTCTTTTTCATTAAAAATTATTTCTTCTACTGAAAAATACATGTTTTATTTTTATCAATAATTGCTATTTTCCTAAGCGAAAATGGAATCGCAGCACTTCAAACTGCTCTACTCTTAACACAGCGCCACCTACGCCTTTAGTTTCCTTCTGTGCTGACATCTGTCGTCAAAACACGTCAGCTGCGAGAACTATAAGGAAAAAAGTGAGAAGTTTACCATCCTTTCTGACCGAATGACTGCTGGTTCGAATCTCACCGCAGACCGACTGTTTGCGTTACACGGGTAGCTAGACAACTTACAGTACTAAACTATCTCGGTCAAGACCAAATCCACTCCTGAAACCGAAGTGGAGACCATGCACAGTTCTCGGGAAAGACCAATTCCTCAAAGCGGCAAAATGGAAACCATCGAAGGTACTCAGGTGAGTACTATCAGTATAAGTTCTAAAATGTGTTTCTCAGTGTATAGTAGACGGCCATTTCCAGCTAAGTGTGCACACTGCATCGTGCAGTAGCGTACAAAACTGTGCATGCATTCGGTCCGATGAAGCCATTGAGTTTCAGAAAGTTCACATGGTCACAAAACGGTTGTCATCAGTCGTGTTCACCCACCTCCACGATTCCCAGCCACCTACCTCTGAATACCATCCACCGCGCATTTCACGCACGTAACCGTCTCATCAGACTCCCGTTCTGACCGAAAATCGTCGTGCTCGTCCGTGCCCATAAAACCATGGTATCATAGCCATAAATTGTTGAGTTTCTCACCGACTTCCGGCGGCGTTTCAGCAACTGTCGGCTCTGCAAAAACCCGTCTCGTCGGCCGGCCACCAGATTAATTCTCGCCGGCCATGTCCGGTGCGCTCCGTGCGAAACCCGGCCGTAAACCTAACGAGCGGCACCACTCGGCCGGCAGCACGGCCTGCGACGAGCCGACACGGGCCCGCGGCGCCGGCGGTCGGCCGTGAAGGCACGCGGCGCCGACAGCGGCGGCCCGGGCGGCGCGTCCGGCCTTGCCCGCAGGCCGGGCCGGGCTGCAGCCGCGCTGCAGGCGCCCGGCAGCTGCCGCAGCCGCCCGAGCCGTGCACGTCGGCCGATGACCCGAGTCGGAGTCAGAGTCACAGTGGGAGTCGCACGGGGATGACCAGGCCAAATGGACCCGGATGGTGCCGGGTATGGAGCAGTTGGGGCGGCGGCTGGCCTCGAAACCGACCTATGGCGAAGATGGAGGGTGGCGAATGCAGTGTGGTGCTGACGGGCTATGCGATGGACTACACTGCGAGCTAGACTGACCAGAACGGGTGGGACGATGTTTTGGACAGACAGGAGGACGAGCAGGACTGAGTCGTGAACTACGAAAGGGCGGACAGGATTGATGTTGGACCTGCTCAGGACGGGCGTCAGGTGGGACGAAGTGTTAATCTGGAACAGGTGGTGCCCCGGTGGGCGGGACTGAGTGCTGAACGGGGACAGGGCGGATGGCGTCGGAGCAGAGGCGGCAATCGTTTAGACTGGGTGCCGACCACAATGGCCAACAATTAGCTGTCGGTGCCGGTCGGAGGCCTTCACCGGAAACGTCCCGGGCCGGCGGGTAAACGTCCCGCTCCGGGCCACGGGCCGGCGGGCCGTCACCCGTGCAACGGCCGGCCCGGCGGCTCCGCCGGCGGCGACGGAGGGAGCGGGGTGAACGACGCGGGGAGGAAGAGGTGGGCTGGCTATGGGGAGAGCTGGGCTGGCTATTGAAGGGAGAGGTGGGCTGTCTATGGAAGGGAGAGGTGGGCTGTCTATGGAAGGGAGAGGTGGGCTGTCTATGGAAGGGAGAGGTGGGCTGTCTATGGAAGGGAGAGGTGGGCTGTCTATGGAAGGGAGAGGTGGGCTGTCTATGGAAGGGAGAGGTGGGCTGTCTATGGAAGGGAGAGGTGGGCTGTCTATGGAAGGGAGAGGTGGGCTGGCTATGGGAGGAGGATGTGGGCTGACTATGGGAGGAGGATGTGGGCTGACTATGGGGAGAGGTGGGCTGGCTATGGACGAAGGAAGTGGGCTGATATGGGAGGAGGAGGTGGGCTGACGACAAGAGGGAGCTGGGGCTGATGCGGAGGAGGGATAGATTGGTTGACGGGGCCGACGAACGAAGGCGATCTAGGCTGGAGGGAAGTAAGAAGCTAGGGTGACTCAGAGTTGAGCGGCCTTGCCTCTTCACAAAGAGTGATGACGTTTGCTCGGGATCCGCGACGATGCTGGAAGAGACGCCCGCAGCTCTGACGGAAGAGAGGAGCGATGAGCACGGATAGGTTGTGATGGGAGAGCTTTCAGCAGGATTACCAGTTGAAGAGCACGCGCGTTTCCAACAGCAGAGCCACAGTTTGTGGGTCAAAAGACAGAGACGAGCCTGCTGAGCATTGGTCCGATGCCGTGCAGAGAGCACCAAATAGTAAAAACAGTCCGACAATTATGTGCCTTCGACCAGCTGGTGATAACATTCTTTGTTTTGATAGAAGTCATGTCCATCCACTCATTGGTTGGTGCAATTGGAATTTGGATCTATTTTCCCAAATTCCTGGCTCAAAAGTTATTCACCCTTCCGTCACGCGAAATTTACGTCACAAGAATTTTTTTTCTTTTCATATGAGCTAGTAAGCCACCGAATTATACTGATAACGAGATAATTGCAAGAACGACATGCATTGTGCACCGCAGACATTATCTCCCACGTGAGAGAAATCGGAGCGACGATACAATCTCCGGATTCACGACAAGACAAATCTCCGGTCCCGCCCCGCCCCAGTCCGCAGCGGGGCGGCACAATCTCACCCCATGCAGAGCGCTGCACAGCATTCGCTGTATGCACGGTGCATAGTGCACATTGCACGGTGCGGCGCGTCTGTGCAGGTGTGGCCGGCGCCCCCGTTCCCAGCGAGCCGCCCGTCTGTCGCGACTGGCAGATAGTGGTCCGTTGACGGCGACACGAGCCACGACGGCAGACCGGGGGAGGGATATTTGGTCCTAAGGCAGCACCCAGCCCAACCCCAGTCCCGCAGTTCAGAATCAGACGCAGTCACGATAAGACAGCCGTATAATGCAAAGGGTAGCTCAGTCCCCAAAGTAATGGATAGTCGAAAAGCAAAGCATATACCTAGCTGAGGAAACGGTCCGAGAACATAGAACGGGTCAGAATTTGGAACGGTAATAACTAGCCGGACCTGAGTTCAATGACGGACGTGATTTCAGATCTGCTTTTGAGGATCTGGTGAGCATAATTCGCACAAAATTTATGCACAGCTATGTACATTGCGAGAGAAGGAAAGGTTCAGGCAGTTGAGCCTTTTGTATAAAATAACGTTCATTTATGTCCCAAGCATTTATTGTCAACGTGTTTCATAACATAGTGCATTCTAAAAAAAGACAAGGAATAAGGGTAGACCATCTCCACTTATATTCGATTTTAGCCATTCAATGTCCCTTTCAAATTCTTTTGAGGTATTTCACGACTCATATCCTCATATGTCCAGTCCCATCTTACAACCGTCTTTACACTCGCGTTCACCCGTCGCTATACACGTATGTCTGCATTATCGGAAGTGCCGTGCTGACTGCTGTGTCAAAGTTTCCGACCCAGGTGTACAAAACACGTGCTTCTCCGTATTACCATCAAATATAGGTACGTGTTGCACTTCCGAGGGAACAGTCAGCTAGACACCGACTACACATGTCTGTGAGTATACCTCCGCTGCATGGTTGGCAGAGCCGCGAGGAACGCGCATCGATCTGAGAGTCGGTTGCCCTGCACTGGGGATGGGGTGGGGGTGGGGGGGGGGGGAGCGACAGGTCACAGCTGGGGCCTCCGCGACGACCGACAGCCACCGTCACACACGAGCGTTACATGGCAGTCACACGAAGACGTTACGAAGTAGAACGTCACAGAAAGTTACGCGTCCTGTGCGTGACTCGTGAATGTCAGTGAAGAAGGCCACAGTCACACCCAGCCGGTGCTTCGGGCAGGGGCACGGGAACTACTTTCAGACTGGGGGGGCACACCATGATAGAGATCAACCTAGGGTACCCCCAAATTTAGTTTTCTCGCCGGTTTTAGGCCACTTATTTTTCATCCCTTGGCTTTTTCAACAAAAAAGAAAACATTTGCAAAAAAAGTGCGGCATTCCGTCTTAAAGTTGTGGGGGCACCGCCCCCACGGCCCTAAAGTTAGGGGGCAAGCTGCCCCCACTTCCCCCCCCCCCCGGTTCCCGCGCCCATGGCTTCGGGACGCTTCAAGAGAGGGCTTTTGAAATTATAGCAGAGAAGCAGCAGGAATGCTTCTGTAGTATTACACGCAAGCAGAGTGATCAAATAAGCGACAGCAATCACAAGTATCTGAAACAATCTAGGACTTGCGACCATTTCGATGCTTGTCAGATCCCATGGTGATATATACCTACCCTTTGGAGCTTTAAACACAAGTCTACATACACACACGCACACACACAGACACACACATTCCGGCTGAAGTTCCGGAGATAAACTGTTATTCTCAGCGGCCCTCGATGGCTGGTTAAACACAGACAAACGATAGATTTAGCCGTGAAGCGATGTGCAAGTCATGGTCACGGGTCAAGTCAGAAAACGGCCACAAAAGGTCAGGTCAGGTCAGGTCAGTTGAGTGTCCCGGTTCCAAAGTGTTGAGAAATAATACATTCGATTTCTTAAATTATTGTTTACTGTCAGGTTAACACTTGAATCACGTGGTTATTACCAGGAAAAACTGCCTTCGATCTTATGGAGATGGATCATAAAGTAAAAGACAATATATTTTCCTGCAGCCATACGCGCAACAAAGCACGGATATATGTAATTGATATCAGTGTGTGCCGAGCGTATAAAGCTACAGTCGTAATCCTCCAGATAACGAGTCCGGCAGCGGCTAACTCTGTAGCCCTCGTCGGCGCAACGACCCGTACCTACTCGACCGTCTCGTCCAGCGGCCAGCGCACACCGATCCAATTACTGGAGAGACACGGAAGTAAGTACAGCTGATGAAGCCAGGCAGCAGCGACCTGCACTGGTTCCTGGAGAGCTCCGGTCAGCGGTGAAAGACGTTCGAGGAAATAGGAATGGTAGATTGGTAGCCATGGGTCCGTCGTGAATGGTGAGCAATGGCAACTATATCGGAACGACCGATATAGTTATCGATGGTTATCGTTATAGTTATCGACAACTATATCGATGGTGTGGGGGCCTACGGGAACCACAAGCTGGTAAGGAAAGGGTAGGAATAGTGACCAGGTAGGTCGTACGTCCAACAATGACAAGGAACAGTATCATAGGCGGCGGAAAGGGGAGGGCACCGGGGCACCGTGCCCCCCTTTGATTTTGGCATTTTAACATTAGCCCTATGGGCGTTGCATGGAAAGAATGGGACCAAAAGTCGGTCAGTGCCCAGTGGTCAGTGCCCCCCGTTAATTGAAGGTGTTCCGCCGCTACTGAACAGTATTGTAGTCCTCCTTACCTTTGGATTCCGGAAGTGTTGTCCGCAGATGGCACACCGGAGCGCCGGTCTGTCCGTGTCCGTGTTCGAGGTTTGACCGGACACTGTGCCGGACACACTCCGCCCGGTCACACCATCACTGACCGCCACACTGTCACCGGTCGTCACCGCGTCACCGGCCGTCACCGTGGGTCGCATCACTGGCTTCGGTTTCATTGCAGGCTTCACCACGGGAGGCGACACTGAGCCCCTGCCGATCCCGTCACTGGCGCCGTCACTGCGGCCGTCACTGGCGCCGTCACTGGCGCCGCTGACCGCCGGCGGCCCGTCGGCGATGGTAACCCGCCTCACGGGGCCTGTCCCTGTCCCCGGCGCAGGCCCGTTGTCTCGTCCCTGGAGACCACCGCCGCTGAGACCATTCTCGGCGGCTGTCGCCCGATGTCCGTTGGTGTGAGGAGCCTCTCCAGCCTCCATCTGTCGGACAGTGCGTCACGTCACGTTACAGCTCGGGTACCGTCACACCGTCACAACACCGACATCGTCACGCGCGTTACATTCTCTCCCGTCCCGTACAGTCGCTTCGCTGGTCACGTTAAGTTTGCTACTGGTGAAACATTTCGTAACAGTGAAATGACTTCAACGGTAGCTGTTACAAACAACATACCCGCCCACCCGCTGCTGCCACTGTTGGCGCGCCGCGTCGAGGTCGTCGCGTCGACGACGTTGAGCCACGTGTTTGCCCACGCCCTGCAATGGAAGCTGGCTCCAGCGCTGGCCATCGACCGCCCCCCCCCCCCCCCCAGCGCCGGTGCTTACGACGCCCTCTGGGGGGGGGGGGGGTGGAGCGTTTCGGGGCCGCCGGGGAGAGATGACGTCATACACAAATCGATTTGGGCAAGTGGCCCGCCGGGCAGCCGGACGAGCCAGGCAGTCAACAGGCAGCGCACACGGCGGTATGGCCAGAAATGGGTGACTGGCATTGGGATCTGAGGACAGCATTCCCCCGTTAGGGAATGGCATGTCGGACGATTGAATAGTGACGACAAGCTACCTCCTGATTAGATTCTGGTTAGACTCTATGCTAGCGGGACTGGCGCAGAATCAAATAAAATCACTCAAGACGGATCACTGCATACCGGTACTAACAAGCTAAAAGAATGTTGGGCGGAGGTCCCGATAGTGACAGTTTTATTGTTATAACAGAGACGGTAAATGTCACGCTTAATTCCAGGTGAGCTGAACGATAGAATGAAGATGGAGGGCCGCCATAAAACTCGACTGGATATCCTCCAGCCTACGGCCTAGGTCAAATTATTGGAAGGCAAAAGGACCTACGAAACTACAGCATCAGCTCGACAGCTGCCTCCATGACCATTGACCCCGACTCGAGGAGTCGCGACTCTGCTTCCGTGAGCCCCACGTCCCCAGCCACATACAGCGTCTTTCCGTGATACTTCAGCCAACTTCTCCGTGACCAGCCTGAGAATGCAGCCATTTCAGCCATTGTCTCAGAGAGCTTAATAGTCAGCTGTCTCCGTGACCTCGGTCTGTGTGTCTGTGTCTTCGTAACCCCGACTTCTGTCTAAGTGACCCCGGTCTGTTTCTCCATTTCTCCCCGTGACCCCTGTATTTGTCTCTATGTCTCCTTGACCTCGTTCTGTGTCTCCATGTCTCCCCATGACCCTTGTCTTTGTCTCTATGTCTCTCCGTGGCCCCGGTCTGTGTCTCTATTGACCCCGGTGTGAGTCTCTAAGTCTCCACGGTCTATGTCTCTGTGTCTCCGTGACCCCAGCCGGCGTATCTGCGCTTAGAACCCACCCCGTGTCTCTCTGTGTCTCTTTGTCTCCGGTCTGTGTCTCCGTGACCCCGCAGTCTCTGTCCCCGTCTCTCCGTGATCCGACCCATCCGGTCGTCAGCTGGCCGGTGGTCCACGGGTGGATTCCCACGGTCCGCCCCTCCCCATACCTGAGAGAGCGACAGTACCTGGCGACCGGAAGTGCACCGCCGGTTCAGTCGGCCCGTCAGACGTCCCAACTAACGAGCATCCGGTCCCCGGTGATTGGAAAGGAGGGACTATCGTCCTGTGAGGGACGGTACCTGGATGGTGCAACGCGAAAGAGGCGGACGTTTAGGACTAAAAGTCTCAGGCTGCACTGAAATTCCGATTAGAACTTAGAACTTTGAAGAAAATGAAATAAGGGTGACACAAGATGTATTGGACTAAATGGGAAGCTGTGCTGGCATTTGCTGAGAGGTGGGCCGAGTGAAGCCAAAGGCTCTGCAGCAGTGGGGGTCGGGGCGACAGGAGGACATGTCTGAGTGGTCTGAGCTCGGTCTGAGCTCGGTCTGAGCCAGGTCGGATGACATTGCACGGCTGGCTGGCCGCCGCCCAACTGGCAGGGCGACGGTGACGCCCCGCGCCCCCGCCCCCGCCCCCGGCCGCGGCCAACCAGCTGATGAACCCCATCCGTCACCGGTGGGCTGGCAGGAGCCGGCGGCACACGCCACGTGGCACCTCAGAAAATAGCCGCCACCGGAGAGGCCTGCAGAAGGGTGAGGAACGACAGTATGCTGTGCTGATTGGCTGCTGAGCGCTGGCCAGCTGCTGACCAGCCGATTCCTGATCTGATCGAGCCTGGTGCTCATTCGCTTAATGACCCGCTTAGCCAAGATTATTTTGGACTGACTGCTGACCGACTGACTTCTGATCGACCCTGGAATCCGTTGACCGCTGACTGACCGCGGCTGACCACCTGCTGACCGGCCCTGCATGGTGCCCATCCGGTGTCGGCCGCCAACACAGCTGAAATTTGGCACATCACCGTCCCTCCGCGGCCGATCAGCCCAACAGAGTGCCGGTTAGTAACCGGTTCACATCGCGGTTTATTTTACACCGGGCCCATTAATCGAGATCAGCGAGCGGCGATATTAGGGTGGGTGTAAACAGGTGCTTTTGGAGAGTCAACTGTCGACGATATGTGTATGGAAAGCCTAACAACAATAAAATTCGAGTAAGAAGACCCTAGAGATTTAGAATCGAACTAGCAGACAGGCTGCAAATGGATACCCTTGAGAGTGCAGTCGTTCGTTCAGAACTTTCAAAAGTGAGTTTGGAATGTTTGAAAGTACGGCGTAAATACCATGGAGAGCGATCGAGCTGTCCGCTCGCCAGCCGCCAGTTCACACGAAAACATAAGCAGACGATCTCAACCTCTAAATCGATTCGTGGCCCGGGAAAGTGCCGGGCTCCGGCTGCCGCGGAGGGTTTCCTCACGGCGTGGCATTCTCGGGCTGGGCTGGGGCGGACGGAAGTACGCCGTTTGACTGAGCTCACGGAGCCGGTGTCCGTGACACGTGACTGACTCACGAGTCCCTGCGCTTCAGTGAGCTGAGATGGACGGTATTCACCTCTTCGCCGGTCTACAAACAGTGTTCAATACCGAACTATTACACTTAATTTTGCAATACCTTTCAGGGCCTAAACCTTGATGTGCGGAGTTGCAATACGCTGCACCGACGCTGTGCTCGACTAGCTACAATGCACTGCGTAAAGCGCTAACATCCGGTTCTGCTGTGCCACAGTCCAGCCAGCCTGCCGTGCTAGTCGTGTCGAGGCAGAGAGGGGACCAGGCGGACCGGCAGCCGGCCGCGGTGGCACGTCACGCACAATCAGCCGGCAAAAACGCCGCTAAAAAGCCCGCCTGACCGCAGCCGGCCGTGGGTAACGGGTGAGTGCGGCGCGCACAATAGCCCCCGCTGGCCTGTCCCCGGCACGGCAGCCGTTCACGAACACAGGTGAAGGGTAACGGTCGGAACGGGGAGAGAGGAGGGGACGCAACGGGACGAGGAAAAGAGAGAACGAAACGAGACGAAGGAAGGAAAAGATAGGAACAATAAGAAATGAGAACGCATGCAAAAAGAAAAAAACACGGACACGACAAAACAGGAGCAACAAACATTACGCCAAAGAAAAAAATGTAAAAATAGCATACAATCGGGTCAGAAACTGACGGAGAGCGAGGTGGTTTTGCAAGACTTGATGAAAGAAGAACGGAATGAAACGGGACGTAGCCAGACAAAAAGAGACAGGTAGGAAGGACATTGTAGATGCCGTTTCTATGTCGGCGGCGTTATTCGTGACGGGCACGAGCTACACGAAATAAAATTTTGCTGAAGTAGAAAAGTAGGACGGAAATAATTTTGAACAAGTAAAATAGGTTTAGAACAAAGGTTTTGAAAATAAGTATCGAAACCGCAAGGCAAGGAAGGAAGAAGTTAAGTGATATTTAAGTTTACTTGGTGTAGAATAAGATAAGCCTTTCATGTAGCCGCGGACCAAAAATCGCTTTTGACGGTGGTTGTGGTTGAGAATGTGTGCGTGAAAGAAGAAGAACCTGTGAGAAGACGGTGATAAGAACCGGTGTGAAGTGTGCTATTTTGTGCCTGAGTTTATATTTTATTTTAATACCGAAATATTACGACATCCCGATCAACTTTAGTTTGAAATAAATCAGAGTAAAATCACTCAGCTCAAGCCACCCGTAAAGCATTATCCAGCGCCTACATTTAGTCAAAAGCGGTTTTCTACGTTTATGATTCTTACATTTAGTCAAGTTTAAGATATGAAGTTTGTTTAACGTAAGAATCATTTAACGTAAACAACGCAAGTGTAAGTCAAAGTACATAAGAAGATGGGAGCTGACTCTCCAAACGACCTACCGTTACGTACGGCAAAGTCCCTACGGGAAGAACTCAGAAAGAGAGGCCTGTCGACAAGCGGCAAAAAGGCTGTTCTGATAGAAAGACTGGAGAAAGCTCTAGCTGACGAAGAGCAAGCGGAGGCAATTGAATGCAGAAGCTCAATGTCACATGCATCTCTCGTTTCAAGTTCCTCTACCTCAAGCCAAAGAGCCCAAGAAACTCTTAAGAGGGCAGAGCTAGAGGCCAAAGTAGCTCTACTCGAAGAAAAAGAACGACTTCTTCGTGAAGAAATGGAGCTTAAGATGAAACGAGAGAGGCTACAGCTGCGAGAAGAAATTGCGCTTGCTGAAGCAAGAGAAAAGGCACTTGAGATGAGCGCGAGTGTCCTCAATGAAGAGACCATTCCAAGACGACAAGGCTCAGCTGCGAATGGCGATGACAATGGCGATTCGCAACGAGAACTGACAGCTATTCAAGCACTGTTAACTCAACAGAAGAGAACTCTGCTACCCCAGTCGCAGATTCAGACTTTCCGAGGCGATCCTTTGGAGTATAAAGGATTCATCCGCGCATTTGAAAGCAGGATAGCCAAAAGGACAGAAGACTGCGCGGAGCGCCTGCACTTTCTGGATCAATACACAGACGGAAAGCCCAACACCATAGTGCGGAGCTACATGCACATTGATCCAGTAAAGGGCTACGCTGAGGCTCGGAAGGCTCTCGACCGAAAATACGGCGATGATTACAAAATATCTAAGGCGTACGTGGAGACG